GTGAAAAACATACCTCTAGAAGTACAGTGTACATGTATGATTTGGTACATGTAATTAATGAAATACATTGCAGGAAAAATACTGTTCAGAGAAAGCCATAGAGGATAATGCATTAGACATGTACTTTTGCGATGTAATGCAAACAAGTAAAAGGCATCACTTGAGAATTTAATTGATATTGTGAATGCAAATTGTAAGCAGTGAAAGATATCCATAACATGCCTTGCATTTTTGTAAACTGTACATGTAGGCCCTACATGTGCATGTACCGTAGGAGAACATGTTCCATCGTTGCATTACTGGTAAGTGTACCAGTACAAACAATATGTACAAGTGCAGTACATACACTTTATGTAGTGTGAATTGGTGTATGTGTTGTCAACCACATCTTTTTACACACCTTGGTCACAAATAAAAAGGATCTTCAGTGAACATTGATGTAAATTAGATTAGGAAGACATGAACATTGATCGTTGCTGCAGTGCATGTTAACCTACTGTATTTTGTTGCATTCAGTTTAAAAATAGTGTAAATATACCAGTACATGAATGTTGATGTGGCAGGTGAACGAGGCATATTCAGCCTGGGTACATGTTGACTGTACACTCATCGTATAGCTGAGTTTGAGTTATACCTGGCTGAGTGTTGTTTCTGCACAGAAATCTTTAGTATTCTTGCATATTGCGCAAAAACATGTATTGTAGTAACAGTGTATTTAGAACCCTGATCTGCATTCTAATGCAAACAGTGTGAACGTGCATTAAGACGATGGCCAAAAAACCCCTTTATGTGAAATCTGGAGTGTCGCAATCAGCATGTACACTGTACATGTACCGGACCTGGTATGCATTCTCCAAGCCATGAGCATAGGTCAGTCATGCATACATGTACTAACAAATATTAGCAATTCATTATTCATCCATCATTCAATGTATGGCCTGTCCACTTGGTACAGACCATTGATGTGCTGAATATCAAACCAATAGGAATTTCTCCTTGTATTGTACATGTTCTAGCATGTATAATGCATTATGAGTTCAGTATACGCACTCATTAGCCATTGTCTGTTTGGAGTTATAAACAAGGTTTGTTTCTAAGCATGTTTTGTTGTTGGTAAACATGTATTTTGTGTAGAGTCTAGTTGAACAAGGTATCGATATTCACAATACACCTTTTGTTATGCTCCATTCCTCCTTGGTTACCGGTATGTTCTGCATTGCAGGTGGTTGTGACTTTTGGATGTTTTGGTTATGTACATGGACATGTTCTGGTACCAGCAGTACATGTAAAGCATAATTTTGTCAAGTTTTGTTTACATGTGTGCTTTCCTATGAGGGTTTGATAACTCCTGTCCCACCTCATTGCCATAGGAAAGCACATGTGTAAATAAACTGTGACATTGTTTTACATGTATGTCTGTGAGTGAGTTAATAAGATCTTTGTGTGGATTGTGGTGTATTTTTAATAATTATTGTATTTTTTAATGAGAAATGACATGGAATTTTCAATCCTGGATTTAATTAAGCTTTACATATATCTATCTATGTTCATGTATCTACTAGGGCTGTGGGAAATATCTAAATGTTTGATCAATTAGCGAATATTTGAATGTTATTTTCCTAATTTGAATATTCAAATGCAGAATTCAAGAAAAGGAACTAAGGTAGAATTTTCGTTTGTTTTAAATGGGAAAATTTCACTATGGATGCTTGTTTCAAACAGAATCAAATGAAAAGTGACAGGAATCTCACAATGATTCCAAAAAGAAATTACTCATTAAAAAATTTAAATGGAATAGAAATTTTCAACAGGGCTAAAAGTATTGTTAGTCTGTTAAATCTTGCTAAATTGTGGGATTTGTGACTGAAGATACAATGTATTCCTAGACGTGAGAAGTTATTACATAATACATGTACATATAGTGATTATAACATACAATTGTGTGCGTTATTGCAACTGATTTTGTATGTATGGCTTAATTATCAATAATATGCTTAGATCGAATATTTGATTAAATTGAAGGTTGAATATTCGGATAGGGAATCATTTGAATTGACTCAGCCCTAGTATCTACACACTGCTGTCACCTGTAATGTACTACATATTTACATACATGTGGATACATATTTCACAAAGGGTGATATTAGACAGTTGCATTTAGACTGGGTTAACTTTTGATCTGTAGATCATCTTAATGTAAGCTCCTCAGCTGTCATTTGTGGTGACAAATTTCTGAGAATTGACTTACATGTATGGCAGTAAGCATTGTGAATATAGTACGGTAGTTGATAAAGATAAGATTGTTAGTAAAATTCTTGAGGTCACAGTTACATGTCACTGAGTTTTCCAGAGCATACATGGACTGTATCTGCTTTTGTTTTTATATGCAATCTAAAAATGTCCAATCACTAGTTCCCCCTCTGCAGTTTCCAGTTGCGTCATTGATTACATTGATATGCTTTGACTGGCTGGTCGGTCTCGCTCAAAAGGCTTTTAATGCAAGCATGACACAAGCATTAGCATGTGCTATTCATGTATTGTCCTACATGTACATGTACATGTACATGTAGCTGTATGATCGTACTGGTCTTCCACTGCCCTGTTTATGCACATGTACATATACTGTACATGTGTAGATGTGCAGGCGTGGCATACATAGTGTGGACCTCTGCACAAAGGAAGTCCTCATAATGTAGGGTATGATGGCATTGTGTGGACTGGCACACGTCCACACAATGTTTTCCCCTCTCTGAAAAACAGTAATCAGAGGCATTTTGGGGTCGAAGTTATCGGTAGCAAAATAAAGAGGAACAGTCCAGGAAATCATCATCAAAAATGCAGCTCGAAGGAGTTATTCTTGTTGGAGAAAAAGGAGCATTTTTCTCAAGTTTCCTTAACCACAGGAGAACAAAGGAATGTCCGCACTTAATATGTAAAACAGGTATGGGTGTATTTATGGTGCTTGTAATATTGTCAGATCAGTCTCACCATTGGAATTGAAGTGGCTGTTTTGTTTCAGAAGAAAGTTCTGTCATTATATGTAGTTCATTCGTAGCAAATTGGCAGTATATCAAAAAGGAGCTTTAAACAAAAACTTGAAGAGTGAAATATTTTTAAGATCATAATCTTCTGTGTAGTGTTTGCTTTGAAGTTTGTATAAAGGTCCAAACTGATGGCATGAAGGTTTGCGTGCGCTATCAGTGTTTGTGCATAGAGGTGGTTCGTGGCAGTTGACTTCTCTTGATGAAATCATAGTATCTCTAATCCAATGATTACTATCTGCCTCCTTCGTCTGAGCCTGGTTCCCTACGGCCCAGCCAGACTTAATTGTATTTAATAGAGCAGATTTTTTATCTCATACCATACATTGCTGTTCATTCCTTGCATCTAAGGTACCATACATGTACAAGTATTTATTCAATCTGGAATTGATCACACTGATGCATGAATGATCATATTACAGTGTAGTTGGGATATGCTTGTCTCCTATCCTGATAAATCCATTGCTGTTTGTTGATAGTTTTTCAGTGTTTTTTTGTGCCCTCCCCCCCAAAACACTGAAATCTTTTACTTGGAGCGGTCCAATCACAAGGTTGACGGTTACACTTGGGGGACCTGGTCCATGTAAAGTAGAATTTAGTGTGTAATTTGCACAAGACTTATACTGGAGTGCATTTTACAAATGTACACTACTACAAATATCAACAAATTTTGCATTTCATCCAAACAGTGGACAATTTATAAACAGATTTCGGGATTGTCATGAGTTCAACTGCATTTTCATGTTAGGTACATATACATGTGACAAGGAATTTAATGATGACACTAACAAGATGTATTCTTTCTGTAATTGCATAGAATTACGTTCATAATTTTTACCGTTCTGGCAACATTAATGAATTTGTCTCACAAAATGATTGATATACTGAGGAAAGTCTTTGCTTTATTTGTTATAGATCTCCTCATTGACTGTCTTTTTTTTTTGAATTCTTCATAATTCTTGGAGTTTGTTTAAAGTTAACTAAACAAGAAGCCACACTCCAACCCCGGAATTTTTTTGGTGTGAAATTGGTGTAAATAAAATTTGTATTTCTTTTGTGACATAGATTCTTTGTGCCATGTTCCCGTTTCCTTATTTATTTTAACTCCACTTGATTACACAAGTCACCGATCAACATTACCACCGATCAACATTACCACCGTGGGATGTTTTTTACCACAGCTGGTACCAGTACAGAGGTCACAGAATCAAAGTGTGCCATTCAAATTTGCATGAATGCAGTCTGGTGGTAATTTTCAAGTGATCCAACTGGCTTGCTGATTTTATACCGGTAGTTATTTTTCCAGTTTGCAGTTGAACTACGGTACATGTACATGTACAGTGTAGGATGAACGGACTAAATATATTGTACATGTACATGCATGCACTCAACTTGAGAGGTACATGTACATGTACCGGTATGCATGTGAAATGGAAGGTCATACATGTTCATGTATGCAGTATTGTGTACATGTAAGTTGCACATGTGCATTGTATGGTACATGTACATGTACATGTACATGTATGTACATGTAGGCAGCTGTGAGGTTGGTGGTTGCATTGTATGTACATGTATCATGAGTCATGGAATCCTTAGGAGGGTTCACATGGGGGGTAAGAGGAGTGCTCAGCAAGTAGTGTTTGTGAAGTGTCTGTGTTATGTCTGACACATATACAGCATATGTACAAGGGGAGTGGAAGTGGTGGTACAGTAGTCTATTGGCCATTCAACTTGGTTCAAGTGGCTTACAAACACAGAAGGGCTCTATGAGTATGAATTTAAGAGAACCAAGAGTTTATGATGCCCATGATCTCCTTATTGCATGTACAGGCTGCTACATGTACATTTATTTTGGGAGTTTGCACTTGTGATTTTTTCTGTTGGTGGCTTGTAAAGTACATTTTTAAAACGAATCTTATAAATAGATAACATGATTCTTGTTGGCATTCTTTTCTCAAGCAGTTTTCCACCGCCCCTGTGTCAGCATTTATGGCGTTTGCTAAAATCTCTGGAGAATTCTGCCGAAGCCAGCACAAGTGAACTGTTGACGGATCTTGGTTTTCGCATACGAGGGACACTCTTACAATTGCTACTGCATTCCCTCAGAGGCGCCCTCGTTTGACACAAACCCAAACGACTCTGGACCCCCACCGACTCGTGAGGGTTCATTGCCGCTACGACACGTGCAATCTGCTCTTTGGAGGCCTCGCTTGCATGCGCGGGCTTCACTTCAGCACAGCGGAAGCTGTCGCACTCAAGCTAAACTCTGGACGCCACGGATGGGGTAAGGTGACAGCCGTTGACAGGGCAAAGGCCTGGGCCTCTCAAGGGTACCAAATTGGGGATTGGTCAGTTAGGGGAGCTGGCTACTGCGGACTCGCTTTCCCAAAGGTCAAGAACAAGCCAAATCGGTGAGAAAGAGCACCTAGAGAGCTTGCTTCTAGGGACCTCATTCGTCAGCTGTGAGTGTGTGTGAGTACAAGAGGATACTTGCCTTGGAAGTTTGTGTCCAACATCCCCCTCCCCCAGAGTTGTTCTTTTCTTCGTCTGTCGTCGTGGTGATCCTATGAGGAACTACACTATCAACATGGCAAGAAGCGTGCGTCCAGCACCCGTAGAAATCATCTACAAGCATACACGATTTCTCATCATCCACAACCCTGACAAGAATGGCATGGATTACTTCATCAAGGTGAGGCTGAACAACTTACTCATTGATTTGGACATTTGTTGTCAGCTCAACTGTAATACACGTCATGTACATGTTCATTCTACTTGAGGAGATGTACATGTGCAGGTGTATGCATGAATTACCGCTATATGTTCATTTTCATACATGGCTACCTGTACATCTCCATCAACAGGTGGGGCAAGTGATATGAAAATGGATAGTAATTTATCATTACTCGGTGTAATAATGTCTATAGAAATGCATACTACAAAAAAAAAACCGGTATGCTGGGTCTTTTGTGGTTTTCTTTTTGACTTTCGCTGATTGAGACAAGTTCTCGTCTGAAATGCTGGGGCGTTAGGGTGGATCTTTGAAAAACATGTACAATTCAGAGATTGGCCATGTCTTGAATATTTAGCCTTTCTGCGTTGAAGACATTTTTGTTTATCACAGAAGAGTGTATACTAGATTTGGCGATGTGTTTGCATGTACATGATGGCCAGCAGGCGGGGATGCTGTATGTCTTTGGATCAGCTCAGTAGTCAGCTGACAGCTTTTCTAGCTGGCATCATTCCACACATTGCTGCAGTATCATGCACAGACCACCTCAGGGAGGAGGGAGACGGGAGCTACCATAGCCACCCAAAAATAACCAGTTATCTTGCATCGTGTCCCTCCTATCGAATCAGCAGCATCTCAGCCAAAAAAAAGAAAGAAAAACATGCGGCCATCTCTTGAGTAATCTTTGGACTGTGATAAGACACACGTAGTAGGCAGTCTTGTTATGCATTGGTGATTTATAAGGCTTTGAGTTGGAGATGAGCATTCAGACTGAGACGGGAGAAACAATGACCATCTGACCTTTGCTAGTTCTGTTGACTGGAGGTGTTTTGCAGCCGCTTGTGCAGGTTGTCTCGTCGGCGTGTCTTTTTTTATCAGTCTGTTCAAAAGGCCCCTGCCAATGTGAGATCATTTCTATTTCATTACGTTGCCGACAGACTTCATAAATTCAGCGGCTGGGTGTGGACATCACGGCTTGAGAGCAATGTAGGATGCATTCGTGTGCAAAAAATGTGCATGTACGCTCAGCAACGATCAAATATTAGATGCAGGAAATCTGCGATCATATTACTGATGAAAACTGCAAAAGTCTGTCATTTGGTCCACATATTCATAATGTTCATGCATGTGTAAAATGTACGTGTTCATGTACAGAGAGATGTGTACAAAATACCCAGCAAATTGTGATATGTACATAACTATACATAAATGTACCGGAACATGTTTTATGCACTTTGAAATTAATGCCAATTTTGGTCAATTTTTTTTCTCTGTGACAGAGTTTAGACACTAAAACTGCACTTATCATTCATATCATTTCTTGCCAAATATGTACTGCTAGTTTTTCCTTTTTCTCTCTTCTGAAACTTGGACAGTGGTTGGAAAAAAAGTGGTGTTCACAAAAACCAACCTGCATTACAAATTCTACACAGCATTTGTTGTGTTTAGTCTTTCTTAGAAACCCACAGCCATGCCTTGGCAAATTCCTGAGGCCACAGTGGCATTTTATTGAGGAAGAGTTCTGCTTGGCAGTGTTTAGTTGAGGCCAAGGAACACATTTGAAGCTGTAGTCAGGTCAATATTTCTTGCAGCCAAGCCCCTGCTGATGCTAGGCTTCATGTCCTGTTGGTTTTGGATAGCAACTGTTTGTGCTGGTCTTCATTCTATTATCTCTGCCCATGCACATGTTGGGGCATTTTCTAGTGCAGATTGAAAATAAAACATTGTAATGAATGGGGTTAACAGGAACTACAGTGTAGGAAACTTGTTTGAATTTCACCAAGCACGTACATGTACACCAACAATGATGTTTTGTGCACTGTAGCATGTTAAAGTACACACACAAACAGTACATGTAGACATGTAATGTAGGTATTTTTGGATGGCATCTCATTGTATATGTACATGTATGTGTGTTCATGTAGTAAGGAAAAAAATGCAAATGTATCATGGAAAAATGTCAAATGTTGCATGTGCCTGGGTAAAATTTGTCATTTTATGTTGATCCTTCCAGGATCTTCAGAAATCAACACTAAGGAATTTTAAGCAGCAAAACATGTACATTCTTTGAACAGAATGTGATGTTTAGTACATAATCCTTCAGAAAAATTCAAAACTACTAGGTGTAATGAATCACGTACTAAAGTGTGCCTTTGCATTGGTACATGTGTATGATTGCTTTTATTGGTACACGTACATGTATGTAATTGATCCTTGATTCCAGGAATTGAAGAAGAGAGACATTGTGGAAGTGGCGAGAGTTTGTGAGCCCACCTATGAGACCAAATTACTGGAGAACGAAGGGATCCAAGTCCTGGTGAGTCCATGCAACTCTAGCCTGGTTGTTGACTTCACCCTTGGTCTGTTTGTTCCTCCATCTGCAGATACATACATGTACAGTAGTTGTATGAATTGGACTTGGCCAATATTCCACAGATCTGTCAAGCAGAAAAAATATTGCTCAGAAACTCTGAGCCAGAATACTAGCCAACAACCAGTCCTAAGTTCTGTACCTGTATGTGGTTTGTGGTTGTGGTTAGTCGAAGGTTTCTTCCAAGTAACTTTTCACTTCACTGCCAGACAGTCCTTGAACAAAGAGCTCTGCAATTTTTTTGTATGAACCCATGGAAATTCTCAGAAACTTCCCTTTTTGTTAATTATACAGGACTGGGCCTTTGACGATGGCGGTGTGCCTTCTAACGATATTATTGAGAAGTGGTTGGATCTTGTGAAGAAGCGTTTTAGTGAGACCCCGGGGAGTTGTGTTGCTGTGCACTGTGTGGCAGGATTAGGACGTGCCCCTTTGTTGGTTGCTGTGGCATTGATGGAGGCTGGCATGGGTTACGAGGATGCTGTCACCTTAATCAGAGAGTAAGTAGTCAAACATTTCACTGGCTCCCTGCACCTGGTAACCAAGGTTGCTTACACAAGCTTATTTTTTAACAAAGATTTCATAATTATGCTGTCCATTAGAAATAAACAGTTTTCAAATTGGGAGGTGGACTCTAAATTTTGTGTTAAAACTTTTGGTTGAATGCTTGTTCGTGAAACTGGTTTCAGTAAAAAAAGCCAAAAAAAATAAACAAACGATAAGATAAAACAACACAAACAAAACCAAGTTGTAAGTTCAACATCATTGTCATGCATTCCTCTTTATTTGTAAATTCTCGTTACTGACTGTTACAAGATTATAGGCAACCTTGCATGTGACATTTCCCTCTTCATCATGAGCATACTGTCCCATTTCTCTGTCAGCATTAGACTTTGTAATTTGGTTAAAGGGAGAAAAATGAAGTGAAATGCAAACATGAAAAGTAGCTGGTACTTTGTAACTGCAGTGCGATATGTACACGTATCAGGATTCTCTCGATAAGGGGATCTTTAGAAGTGTCTTCTTTGAAATAAGGGTATTGTGTGAGCTAAATTCCGTAAACAGGAAATATTTCACATCACTGTGATACATGCACAGTCCCACACAACAGATGGATAGTAAGTTAGTTTGAGTTCTTGGCCTCCAAAGGATTTTTTTGTTGTATTTATAATTGAGGGTGACTGTCGGATTAAAAGAAGCTAATATCCGATGCAAAAAACCAGTAAGCAGTTTGTGTAACTTTAGCAAGAGATTAGTTTTCAAGATGTTCAACATTGAATGTTGGATTTTATTTGCAGCCTCGATGAAAACATCTTGGACATGTATTTGCACAACAGTGGCATCATGTAGGCAAATGAATTTTACTTGCGTACATCATTTTTCCGAGTTGACTGGTTTGGTGAAATTACAGTAGCACAGTGGAAGTATTCGTTGCAACAAAGTCTGTGGAGCCATGTGCAGAATTTGATTTGATTTTTGTATATTTCTGTCCACTTAATCATGGGGACATTTGTTTCGTTACAGAAGAGGTTGCATTGTCACTTATTCCTTGTTGTTAACGTAGGTAACCTTGTGCAAGATATCTGCTAACATTGGTAACATTTGCATAATTAGATCCCAAAGGAGATGAGAATTGTCACACCTACATGAAGTATTGTGGCAAATGTTAAGCATTTGGTAAATTTTGGTAAATTCTAATGTGACATGGGCTGGATTTGTAGCTTTCTGTGCAATTTCAAAAGAATTTGGTTTTTAAGTTAACTTGGGACACCAAAATATGTTCGCTAAAAGTCATGCATAGATGACCCCCCTTAAGTCAGTTGAACCAGTGACTGATTTTATTTGTCCTCTTGCAGGAAACGCCGTGGTGCCATCAATGCTAAACAACTGGCCTTCCTGGAGAAGTATCGCTCCCGCATGAGACTAAAACACAAGAAAAACAACAAAGACCAGTGCTGCGTTCAGTAAATGTTATCTCCAAAACTGTCACCCCAAGAGAGAAAAAAAGAGGAAAGTAAATCATCAGGACAGGAGCAACATTCAGTACCCCACTAAAGCATTTGTTAATTTAGGAAGGGAATTGTTTCTTCTCATGAACCAAAAATATTAATTGATTTTGCATTATATTGTTTACAGGTTGATATAATGTACATGTATACTTATTCATATGACATGTGTATGTACTGAAGGATTGCCTTCCTTTTCCTGAATACTTTGAATGGTTTTGCCACATTTTGACCCATGCTTAATTGTCGTTTTTCTTTGAATACAACCTGCTTTCCTTATAGTCATGGATTTTTGCAGATTCAAGGAAGCTTTGTATTAAAAAAAATACATGGAAATGAAGGATCAAACCATAAAACTTTCTAGTAATGGACATTATTTGTTCCCCAGAACATTGGAAAATGAAATTAGTTTTGCTTGGCATTGCCTTGTTGCTTTGGATACCTGGTGAATGTGAATGACCCCAGGTTATTTGGCATTGCCTTGTTGCTTTGGATACCTGGTGAATGTGAATGACCCCAGGTTATTTGGCATTGCCTTGTTGCTTGGGATACCTGGTGAATGTGAATGACCCCAGGTTATTTGGCATTGCTTTGTTGCTTGGGATACCAGGTCAATATGAATGACCCCAGGTTATTTGGCATTGCTTTGTTGCTTGGGATACCAGGTCAATATGAATGACCCCAGGGTATTTGGTATGCATATGTCATGCTAGAAGTTACATGTCCATATTTAATTTCACACTTCACTGATTTTCAGGAAGTGAATGACGCTATTTCAAAGGTCACTACCTAAATATCAACTAGACATTAATTATTTGTCTGTTTTATCAGTTCTTTCTGTTGGAATTTTTTTTTGTTTTAGCTAAATGATTAGTATTCTGTTTGTCACCCAGCAATATGTCAATAATGGATGCACTTGTTAAAAAGTAGTCCTTGTGTGTGACGTGAAGACTGACCAGTCTGACGTGTGTTTTCCCCTATTGACGTGGCAGCTCATAAGACAACATTTTGATGTAATATTTTTTTTTTGTGGGGGGGGGCTGGGAGATTTGTAGAACTGCTCCTGTCACAGCTGGAAAAAAGTTGAAACTTTGGAGAAAATGTGCCCAAGAAACACTTCCTGGATTTGAAATGTTTGGCAAAGCTAACACGTTCTAAACAAGTTTGAGGGTAGGTTCAGACTTTGGAACAAAAGGACTCCTTCGCGCCAATAGACTTATTGTTTTGAAAGAGGGCTTCAAAAGTAACATATTTATTTATTGATCAGTGTAATACAGTACTACACCTTCCGTTGTTTTCTTATATTGATCATTTCTTTTAAATAGAATTAGGTTGAGATTTTATCTCCCTGAATTTCAAATTTCTGAAATCACTCATTTATTTTGAGAACTTTGTTTGGCTTTCACATTTGCACAAATTTCCAACTGTTAGATTTTGTGATTAATTATTTATAATTTGTTTTTGTACAAATTTATGAATTATTTCCAGCAGCATCTAGAATTCCAATATTGCTCTGAGAGAGTATGCAGTGGTTGTGATTAGCAAACAATTGCATCCAGAAACATGTAAATCTTAGTTGAGTAGCCATGCTGTAATTGTCAGAGCAGAAATGTCAAATGTCAGGTGTCAAAGTTCAGGGTCATGTGAGAACTGAGAAATAATATCTCAGTGTACATGGACATGTGTGGGACAGTGTGGGTTGGAACTGACCTATCGCTGTTTGCGAGTTAGCCACTTTTGGTAGACAAATCTATCATATAATGTACTTTATGTTTTTACTGTCTCCGATTTTGAATGTCCTGCATCCACTTTGTATTGGGCTGTATTTCACAAGCTGCGTTAACATAATTTTGTTACGATGCTCGTTTGCCAAGTCAATTGAAAATTATAATATTCCTGGTTTTATTTATTTTTATCTCAGCTTTTTTTTTGAACCATTGAATAGTCATGTTGCTCCATTTCAAGTCAGTTGACCTCATACTTGCTGACCTTTGACTTTAAAGCAAGCTGTGGATTCAGTTGAAATGATTTGTATCGAATTATTTTGTTAACGTTTATTGCACTGTTCTGTAATTTTAGTGAGTTATGTTCTTTTCTAGAAAGGTCTACATGTATGCTTGGTAGAGACTGCACACCTTGGCATTTTTCAGGAATTTTTTCTTTTCCCTTTTGCACCATCGTAAACAATGAATTTTTAGGTTTTGGAAGTTTGTACTAATGTACAAGCAAAGCCACTTTAATTTGGTGCCAATGGGATGAATTGTTGGAATTGTATCTTGATTATATTTTCTGCATGATCATAAACTGTGATGTAAAAATGTTTTTAATAACACATTTATCAAAAAAGAAATGAATTTGTGGAAAATAATTTCATGGTGAAACAGGCTGAAGTTAGTAGAACTGCAGAATATCTCATTTGAAAACCAAATCAGAAGTTTGATTAGTACATGTAAGTAGTTAAATTGTGATACTTGAGTAATGACTGTTTGTCCGCTAACCCTTACTAACAACTGAAAAAACTGAAGAAAATGCCTTTGACTCTTACCACTGGACTAGCAGTTTAATGATGGACAAAGTCTATTTTTCACACTGCATTTGTACTCTGAAAGTGTGCTTTTAAATAACTATTTTTAGGTGCTGAAATTTCAATGCCGTTAAATTTGATATGTCCCTTCGTCTTGTTGATGTGCTCAACGCCAAAGCCGTGTGATAGAGTTGTAGTAAATACCTCAAGTAGACTGTGATATTAATAACTATCTTGAAAGGCAAAGGTAGAAAATCCCGAGTAGAATGTGATGTATAGTGTGAGCGTTGTATTCACTTTCTACTAACAAAGTGGTGGTGTAACTTTTCAGATGTTTACTGTGAATGAAACAAACTGGTGTTGGATCTGAGACTGTTACCCACAACATGTTTGTGATAAGCTGTGTTTTTACTCATCCCCAAAAAGATCAATTGTTGCTCTTTAGACCCACGCAGTCACTTCAAATTTCAAGCTGCTGTATGATTTTCAACTCTACTAGGTAGCCATCTTGAAATGTCTCAAACGCAAGTTGCATGGAATAGCTGATACCTTTACCCTTGCATTGTAACATGTACCAAGGATTTGGGTACTAGACCAAGGTATAGCCATCAGCAGGTAGTTCTGATTTTGTTTCACAAGATTTTTCTTTAGTTCCAATCAGTGAACTTTGGTGAACTTCAAGTCACAATTACTGTAACTATACTCATGATTAGTCACGTTGCACATTTTTTCTATTGTGATTGATTGCTTAAAATTCTGGACACTTGTTTTGTCATTATTTTGATTTTGACAAACTTAGTTCATTTTTCCCAAAGGGTGTGAATTGTTTTCTAGTCCGTTATTGGTACTGATATTCAAACGACTTGGTTTTGGTGTGCTGGTGTCCAGTTTGTAGTCTTTTTTATGAATATTCATTTTGACAATCCAACATGCCACTTGCTTTTCTTCAATAATATCACTCAGAATATGAGATCAGTGCTTAATGAAACTAAAACGGTTAAGGTGAAGTTGTACTTTGTCTTGTCAGTATTACCACTGAGTTCTTTGGCGAATTAATATGCTTAAATTCCTGTCGAGAAATCTGCAGGCAGCCTTCAAGTTTCAGAGGATTAGGGCATTAACAGACATTATTAGTTTTTCTGTCAATTTGTTTCTTCCAATTGGTGTTGTTGCTATGGGGAGTGTCTGAGTGCACATTTCTGAAGAAATTAATTTGCATTATAATGTGCTTTACCCCTGAAAATGGAATAATTTTGACAAAAATACAATCTCAACAAGGTTGACTTGAGTTATCCCTCACCAATATTACATTACTAAATTTTGAACAGTGAAAAATTTGTCTATGAAATCTGGAAAAAAATTAATGCCAGGTTTTGTTGTGTGCCCAAACAAGGTACATGTGTATGATTGGAGTGTATGCCTTGATGTCATTAGGTTTGTTGACCAATGTGGAATTTGCACATAATTATCTCCTATAAGAGTTGCTGCTCGTCCCCATTACCAGAAATAAATCTTATTTGATTAAGTTAAATAAAAGTAGTCTTTGTTTTGCTTATTTTACTGTGGTCCTCCTCGTTAACCAGCTTTTCCCCACTTTCATTCCACTGGAATTGTCTTTAGGAGACAGTATACTGGAAGCAACATACTTTGTTCATTTATTTACCTACAGAAGAGATTCAAAAACAAAATAACGCCCCCTTGGATTTGGATGCTTCATTAGCTTTTGGCCACCAACATGGGGGGAGAATCAAGGAAATAATTTAGGGGGTTGGGACGGGGCCATGCCTGTCAGATTTTTTGTATCCAATTGTTGGGGACAGGCACTGCATTATATTGTTACTGATGCACTTACATGTACCTCTACACAGATAAGAGGACGTTATCTTTGTGTGTGAGGGGGGTGACCCCTTGGTGCACCTGCAGCACTTCGAGAATGCGAGGTACATCATGCATTGTTAAGAAAACTTTAAAATGTAGAGCTCTGGCCTGGACTCAAATCACGTGATCACAATAGAGGGCTTGGGAATGAGGATTTGGGTTTGCGCTGTTCTAGCCTGGAATATTTTGTCAATGTTTACTTTTTAGGTTGGAACTGATTCAGTTATACCATCAACATGGCACTTCAACAATAATTACATGATTATGCTCAAATTAATTTCCCTTCTAATTGTATACACATTTTCTCAAACATGTTTCATTTATCCAACCTTCTTACAATGAAATAAATGTACTTCAGCTGAACTGCCAGCAGAAATGAAGCAATGGTCCTGTAAATGTGGCAGTTCATTATTTGAACAGTACATGAAGAAAACATGCTGTAATTACTGACATGGGTCCTTTCTTACTTTCACTAACATCAGTTGTAGAAGAAAATAAGCTGTGGAAAACAAAAACAGAACTGCATTCAGAGACAAAAAAAACAAGCCACTGGAAATATGGTATAGGGTTGGCATGGCAGATGTTAAGTGGGGATGGGTGTCGCTGCCAGGTTCACTTCTTTAGGGTAGGTGTTTGTGGACGGAAGTGGGTGTGAAGGTTTTTTGGGAGTTTTGACACCAATGCACCAGTAAGGAAAAGGTAGTGATATTGTCACTCATTTTTCTTAAGAAAAAAAAATGATTACCACTGGTATGTTGTAATTTCAAATGTATTACAGATCTGCTAATAATTAATGCAGCATTAATCTGGTGTACTGTTATCTTTCTGAGACTCGACAATAAACTTAAGCACAGTGCTGATTTTGTTTTTCACATCAACTGTCACACTTTAGTAAACTCTTTATTCCAATCCACTGACTTTACAAAATGGGTCTGAATAAAGCATGACACAAACACTTTATACAATACATGTACATTTATGTAGATATCATACAACATATGGTTTTTTAAAAATATCTATACATTTACAGTACACGATTACATTAACACAGACACCATCGGGTAAGATGTCTGATGTGTTGATCTCAAGAAGTTGGCTTCTTCTAACTGGAATATGCTGGTATTATGTGGACGTCAATTTGAATTTATCTCAATTCAGACGTGAGAAAAAACTTTTAAAAGTTGGTCATTTTTGATGACAAAGCTCTGTCAGATTATACTTTCAAATCCAGCAGGAAATTTTGGAGAATTTGCAGGATTGAGGAAGGTAGAGCCCAGCCACTGTTACTCTCCATGGGTCTTGATTTCCCTTGAAAGGTGACGTCATTTAATGTGCATTTGGTTTCCCTCACAGTGGAGGATTCTGTAGGATTCAGGAAGATTCCTTCCAAAACATTTGAGGGTGAGAATTTTGTCGGCCTTATTTTGTGGGGAAGCATAGAAAATGATGGAACAAAGCAAATTGATGAGGTAATCAGCTAGCTGAGACCTAGTCTGACAAAAGCCACACATCCCACAAGAGGTTCTGAACATAAGCCTCAAAATGATGAACAAAACTATCACTGCTCAGCACACGCTATATACAGTACATGTAGAAAATGCTACTTAAGTGACTGACTTTGTCACTCCTCAGGAAATGAAAAACCATTTCCAAGTAGTACAGAATGCATGAAACATTGGCTAAACCAATGCAAGTCTGAGCTTGAAAACTCCCTCCAACTGCCCTATACAAACCCACTCTATGTTAACATTTTAACTAGATCCATTTCTGCTAAGTACAACCCATCTCCTCGCCAAGAAATTTTTTTGGTGGGACCTCTTAAGCTTCAAATCAACTGCCAAATGCTTGTTCATATACTTCCAAAGAGAAATAAATTAGACCTCAAGATATTTCTTAGTCAGTATTTCATAATACTCACATAAACACTTCACCTTAAAGAAAACCAAAAACATGAAAAACAGCAGCAGAGCTGGCAATGTATGCAAGAAGGTATCTGTCCTTACTAAAACTCATAAAGAACAACCTTACATAACATTCTAAAGATGTTTCTGAATCCAGACAATGCAAAGACATGGCCAAGTAACTTATTTATAGATCTCTAATTGAAAACTTAGAGGTCCCATTACCAGCAGAAATATGGCAGAGATACGTATCCCCCCAAAAAAATTAATGTGTTTTCTGTGGGTGACAAGTTTATTTAATAATCTTGACAAAACATCTGGATTCAAAACGATTTAGGCAAAATATAGAAATACTCAGGAGTCAAAAATAGCTGGCATGATTAAGCTTTCCCAAGTACCAAGAAATTGGTCCTGTCAGATTGGTATTTGTATTGCAACAATAATTTCAATCTATATTTATTTTATGAACCCTAGACAATAAATAATTGATTCCACTCAACAAAATTCAGGCAAACTTGCAAGAACAGAAACCTACTTCACCTTCCCACCTTCCAACCCAAAAGAGACTCACTGGATTCACATGATGTTCTTCCTTTTCCTCTACAAGGTACATTTCTGCGAGAGGACGCACATGCAAAGTGACACAAGCCTTTTGAGGCCAAAAAAAGAATATAAAATCTCTACAATTTCTTCATGTTCTCAATCCTGTGGTATCCATGGCAACATGTGCGTAGTTGGACGATGAAAAGCACAAGACATTGGAAGGCTTGAAGCCTAGAGACACTGTATTTAGACCAATGTATAATGCATACCACTATCCATTCAATTTGTAAGCACAGCAGCTCATCATGCATTCTTTCCATGTGGTTTCAGGCCTTCAACATTCAACTACGCCCCCTCAGTTATTTTTACTCTTCACGACTGAATTTCATGGTTGAAATTTAGTGCTAATGGTCTGTACTCCGAGCACTAGAACAGGCACAGAATTCACACAGGTGTATGAGCGTACAAAAGCCCAATCACCTCAACAAATTTGCTAACCATTAGCAGAAAAGTTTCAGCTCCAGTAAGTGGCGAGTTTTCCCTTACTATAAACAGGGAGATAACTTGGGCCTTTAACACTGGAGTTTACCATAAAAAGTTTAAGAAAGTAGATAAAATAATGAGACATGTGTCATGGCAAAGAGAAGAACCTTCAAGCTAGGATGCCTTTGGTCAGTTTCCTCAAAGGAAAAGGAGCTTCTGTCAAGACAGTAACCTTCCTGCAATCAATAAACAGGCAGGAAACTTACTTGCATCTCATTTCAAAGAAGCAAACTCCCCAGCACCACCAACAAAATTAAATACTGATGTGGAAACTTTCTCAGCCCTGATTTAAAAAAAAAACTTGAAGTCTGAGAGTATTGTTTCCACAGAAGACGCGAACAATAAACATCTTTCTTAATTAACGTGAACATTCCATGAACAAATTTTCAGCATAATAAATAATGGTATATCATTTTATGAAATATGTAAAATGTTTACAATTGTAGCAATTCAGTTCAATATTAATCAAAAGATGGCAAACTAAACATTCATACTTAATGTTTTGTTACAAAATTGCTACAAAATATAAAAATTAAATTTAAACAAGGGAAAGAGTCTAGTTATCTCCAAAACAAGCAGAATTTGCACAAAGCTACTTCTTTGTCTTGTCAGGAAAATGCCATATCCTGGAAGGAATTACAACGTAATCAACAATTTGCTGTCAAATAAGAAATCAACAAATGATGGCAGCTTGGTCAAATATACTTACATTCTTCCCCTTTATATTCCCACTTTCTTTACGCAGGTTTTCCCTGTCAGTCTTTAAAAAAAATCATCGCTACTGACCATGCTTTGCACGAAAGGCAATTTAAAAATTAAAAAAGAAAAATATCTTTAATATAATTTTAGCTTCATAATGCACTTGTTTTCAGATCACTTTGAAAATAACTCATTTTTTGTCATCATGTGAGAAAATCTATGAACACTTTTTCCCATCATTTCTGTCATAAAGCTACAGCATTGTTTCTGCGGTGAAAAAACAGCCATGTACAAGAGTTGTGAGGTTAACATACTTTGTAATGTATGATCCTAAATTGTCACTGGTCACAAAAGCAACAGTCTGGCACCTTGCCACTACTACCATCCTAACACTTGACAACGAACCCCAGGAACTAGCCTGTGTCACGTCAATCCTTTTTAAAAGGCAATTACACTAGGTTTTTTCAAATCTTGGCATTGTTTCTGGCTTAGCCTCAACAATATTACTGTACCCAGACTTTGGGGATCTTGGGTTCAATCACACTGAGTCCTTTCACAAAGACTTGGATTTAGTCTAGCCTTTTAAAGTATCCTTCCGAGGCTAATAGCCAGTAATGGAGCCAAGGCTGGAGACAGAACTGAAGTTAAAAAAAGGCCTTGAACTATTCTGTGTGGCAAAACAAAATGCTATTAGAAAGATGTGGTAAAGGGTGGTAGTGAGAAACAAGCAGATGAACAATTCTGTCATCCAAAAAGTGCAGCTGCTGAAGTCCAGGCTGTACTCAATACTTTGTTAGGGCTAAAACAACAGACTATGCTGGCTACAATGCGGGATACAATATGACATCACAATTCTTGTCTTCTGTATAAGTTGTTGGGTATATGAGTGGTGCATGTTTCCTTCTGCCACACCATTGGCAAAAAAACTGAAGCAGTATTGTTGCTGAGGGGACGCTCACAACAAGCTTTTAGCTTTCAAGGAAGTGGCCTCCACACTCTTTGTTTGTTCTTGACCCTTACACCGATCTTTGTAACTGTGCCACACATACCACTTGTTACTGTTGCAAGGTATGGAAATAACTGTCTCTTGAAAAGAACTGAGCTGAGGTAAATATCAATGAATCAACTAAATTTGCTCCATTTTTTTCATTATCGACTCTCAACCCAAAGAACTGAACAATCAGACAGCCGTTAAATGTACATCATTTCTACAAACTATTCCCCACAAATTGAAAAACAAGCAAAGATTTCAATAGGAAAGTTTTAATGAAGGAATCTCAAACACACAGATCTACAAAATACATATATTTACTTTCCCTGAAAAGCAGCAAATGATCAGGAAAGATGGTCCATGGTGGGTGATTATCAAAGACTCCTCAGTCAATTATCCGTCGCTGATTTCCACAAAATTGACTGGGAAAACTCCTCGTCGTTCCGGCATTCCCTCGACCTCCCCAATCTGAAAAATAAAGAAGAACACATAATCAAGTTCAGATAGATTTGTGCCAAAAGTGCCTGGAGGTGTAGGGTTTAAAGTTAAACTGAGAGTAAACTTGTGGCTTTCTAGGGTTGGAGGAAGAAGCTGCTAGACGATGTATAACAACAGAAATATCTTGATTCATAAAACCCTGCTGTTATTAAAGGATACAAGATTATTCCCACACAGTTATGAGAAGACAGTAAGTATGCATTCATATTATTGGTCACACAGTAGTCACCTCATACTGTTGAAGTTAAGCACTCTTTTGGAAGTA